TATTTCTGTCAATGCTCGCCTGGATGGACCGGTCAGAGCTGTACTAGTACTATCCAGGAATGCTCAAGCACGAAACATCCTTGTGCTAATGATGGAATTTGCTTTGATATTGACGGTAGCTACACCTGTAAATGTCCTCATCCCTGGGCTGGTGACAGCTGTGAGTACTACATCAATGAATGTTTCAGGGACTGGGAGCAGCCACGATGTAGAAATGGCGGATTCTGCCATGCCATGGGACGTAGTGCCACGTGCGTGTGCAAACCAGGCTGGACCGGTCCTAACTGTACAGTGGACATAGATGAATGCAGCACTGCACCATGCCAAAAGGATGGGCAGTGTACTAATCTTATTGGTGGCTATAGGTGCGACTGTGCCAGTGGGTGGGAAGGCCAAAACTGTGAAGAAGACCAAAATGAATGCTTACGTTCACCCTGCCAGAATGACGGGGTTTGCCAGGACACTGCAGGAAATTTTAGTTGTTCTTGTCTTGCTGGGTGGACAGGTGACACATGCACACAAAACACCGATGAATGTGTCAGTAAACCCTGTGAGAATGATGGTGTCTGTACTGACACTGTTGGGTCTTACTTCTGTGTTTGTACCACTGGGTGGACGGGGTCTAAGTGTGCCACAAACATTGATGAATGTCGCCACACAGCTGCATGCAAGAATGGTGGTAACTGCACCAACACAGATGGAGGTTTCACTTGCAAGTGTGCTCCAGGCTGGACAGGAGACCATTGCGAAGTGGACGTCAATGAATGTTCTGGTAAGACACCATGTCAGAATGGTGGCACTTGCTTGAATATACCTGGCAACTATACATGCACCTGTGCACACGGCTGGACAGGAAACAACTGTGACTCTGATATTGACGAATGCTTGACAAGGCCATGTAAAAATGAAGCTACGTGCAAGAACACTGATGGAGGTTTTTCCTGTGATTGTGGCAATGGATGGTCTGGAAAGCGGTGCCAGTTCAACCTAAATGAATGCTTACACAGCCCATGTGAAAAGAGAGGTATTTGTTTAGATTCTCCTGGATCATTTTCTTGCGACTGTTTCGACGGTTGGTCGGGTGATTTATGTGACATGGACATCAATGAATGTACCCGTAAGCCATGTTCAAACTTGGCCGAATGCCTGAACACCGATGGTAGCTTTGTATGCAAGTGTTCCACTGGCTATTTGGGAGAATTCTGCAAAGACAACCTAAATGAGTGTTCCACCAGTCCATGCAAATACGGTGGTACTTGTATCGATACGGTTGGCAGTTACTACTGCCGATGTCCCATTGGATGGACGGGCATCAACTGTACTGATAACATCAATGAATGTCTTAAAAATCCATGTCTGAATTTGGGAAAGTGCAAGAACACCGATGGAAGTTTCACCTGTGACTGCCCTGAAGAATGGGCAGGCCTTCGCTGTGATATCAATGTCAATGAATGCCTCTCCACACCCTGTGATCATGGGAGATGTCGTGATAGCGTTGGAAATTACACTTGTGTATGTGAATCCGGTTGGACGGGTCGTTTGTGTAATGTTGATATCAATGAATGCGTTTCAGTACCATGTTACAATGGAGCTACATGCCAGAACAATAATGGAAGTTACACGTGCAACTGTGTCCCAGGTTGGGCTGGTACTATCTGTACTCTGAATGTTAATGAATGTGCTACAAAGAGTAGCAGCAGCAGCAGCAGCAAGCAATGTCTGAATGGTGGGACTTGTGAGGATACCTATGGTAGCTACAGATGTCAATGTTTGCCAGGATGGACGGGCTCATCATGCCAGACAGACATCAATGAATGTCAAGTTAGCAGTCCCTGTGTGCATGATGGTGTATGTAAGGATACAGACGGTAGCTATGAGTGTGGCTGTGCTGCTGAGTGGGGTGGACACCGCTGTGAGATCAATGTCAACGAATGCTTGCAGGCTCCTTGCCAGAATTCCGGAATCTGCTACGATGTGTTTGGAGACTACTTCTGCATGTGTGCATCAGGTTGGACTGGTCGCAATTGCACCGTCAAAGTAGACTAGCTGTTGCTACTAGAGACATTAGTAGTGACCGTGTTTCAGCGAAACACACACACCCAAATTTGCCTGCTCTTTTCCACACTAGTTCCTATTTTTTCTACTTTTCCTCCATAAGAGGACTTTTATCCCATTCTCTAAGGTATTTGTACCTGCATGCATATTCATTTATACAACTTTCAACTCCTAACGGTCTCGTTACAATTACTCAAATTTATACAACCAAATTTTCGGACCTGGCCCGTCAGTAGGTTAATAATGTAGTGCATATTCACTTGAACGTCCATACAATGTTAGTATATCAAGCATCGTTGTTGTGGCATAAGTTAGAGTGTCTGCACATTTACAGCATGATCGCGTGTCCAGCTGCTTGCAGCATAAGCCATGTTAGGTTTTCTGCCTTTCAAGCGCTGCAGTTGCTCAGGTATGCTCGCTCCAAGAGCTCCAAGAGTGCCTTAGTTAGCCCAGACAAAAGATACTCCTGTCCATCTGTTGTGGGCTCAAATAATTGACTTGTTCCTGCTAACTGACCAGACCTTCTGGACATGCTGTATGCATGAGCTCAGGGAGTTTAGAAGGGTTGGGAAGGAAAGAATATGCTAAAGGGCATTATGCTTGATAGCAGCGAGACTTTTGCAGCCGACTACTGGCTTATTAGCAACTGAACCAAGGCATCATCTCTTACCAGCCTTCCCATCCCACGTATCTCATCAATGAAACGAAAATAGGAGACCACATCGACAGGCAAACAGCAGTTGAGAATCCTAAAAATTAAAATTAAAATAGTGAAATACAGTAAGAACTAGAAATAGAAATAAGAAATAAAAATTAAAATAGTGAAATACAATAAAATCATGAGCAATGTGGCAAAGGCCTTTCTCCCACAGTATCGTATTTCCCCAAATGTGAATTTTTTATTTTTTATATTATTATTTTTTCATTAGTTTGAGGGAAAGACTTTTTTATTCTTATTTTACTAGAGAAATCCCAACAGGCGTCATCGCCTTCTTACAGGGAACCCTAGGAACGTCTTGATGGATGATCGAAATTCAGCAGGTGAATTAATTTTTTATTTTATTTTGAAACTCGGATGTTGAGCCATAAATAAATGTAGAAAGGAAAAGGACATATGGATACGAGTTAAGAGTAAAACTCCATCACTGTAACATGGTACTATATACAGTCAGAAAGTGCAATACCTAGGCTAACCGACAGCGCTACAGAGATGTGTTGAAGCTACTGTAGGTGTCAGGACGTCGAATGTCTCAGTACTCTGTCAGTTTCGGGCCTAGTTATTGCACTTTCTGACAGTATAATTATAGTATCATGTTACAGTGATGGAGAGTTACTCTTAACTCGTATCCTATTATGTCCTTTTCATTTCTACATGTATTTTGTTTTTTTATTCTTATTTTGCTAGAGAATTCCCAACAGGCGTCATCGCCTTCTTACAGGGAACCTTTTAAGAACGTCTTGATGGATGATCGAAATTCAGCAGGTGAATTAGAAAGGCGGTAAGCAGGTGGCAGTGCATTCCACCGGTCAGCGGCTACATAAGAAATTGCACTGAAACCATAGCGTGTGCTAGCAGGGGGTAAAACAAGTGCGGCAGGCACTTGACCACGGGTAATGGCAGCAGTGTGAGCACAGTGAGCACGAAGAGTAAATCGGTCTTGTAGGAGAGAGCAAGTAAGGCCATTCAGGCAACGATACACAAATACATAGGTCTTGAAATTTTTCAAGGGTGTATACATTGGTGTTATTGTAGAGAAGGGCAGTTGGGGTCATTCTATCCAAGGAAAAAATTCGCTTTAGCGCTAAGCAGCTGGCAGCAAGAAGTTTGTTGTAAAGAGCTTGCGACAAACAGTGTACATTATGCGGTGCTGCCATACTCAAGAGAAGACTGAATTATAGAGAGGTAGAACAGTCGCTTGGCAAAGATGAGACTGTTATATTGTCCAGGATAACTCAGCCTTCATCAACAATCAGAAGCCCTCTAAATACTAGTACAGCAATACAGGTGCTAATGCATATAGCGTAAAGTATGATGATGATTGTATCAAGTGTCACGTAGGAGGCGTGTATAGCACACCGCTCACACTCTCCCGCTCAAACTCAACAATATGAACACCAACTCAAAATGGAGGCACACCATGCTGACTCAAAGAAAGTGTTTCCGCGACAGCCGACCTCCCACCCAGCATTCATGTGACCTGCCTGGTTCGCCACCAAGCATCTCAGGTCAGAGTCAGACCTCCCCCGCACTCTCGTTATCGTCCGACACATCCGCTTCGGCACCACTACAGGCCGAGCTTGATCCATAACGGACCCGCCGGGGGTTTACTTCCAGAAAATTGGTTCCGTCTAACTCTTCCACTCCTGCGAATAGGGGTAGTCTCCTGGGCAGCTTCACTTGGAGAAACGTCAAGCTCCCCCTCCGTCCCCGTTTCGTGGGTGCTGCTACTGTGCTCCCAGCTCCACCGCTGAGGGGGTGCGGCCTTTAGCTCATTGTAGTGTCGCTGTAGCGTGCGAGTAAGGGCATTGGGTCCGCAAGGCTTCACCAGGTAGGTATTGCGAGTCCTGTGCACAACTGTATACAATTCGGACTTGTGTGCGTGAAGCTTTCCTTTCGTGCGCTGTGCAGGTTGGAGCTTGATTCTCACGGTGTCACCAACAGCATATCCACACCTCGCCTTCCCGCCAACTCTCACCCTCCTGGCCTCCTGAGCATCGCTTATACGGCGCTTCACACGTCGGAAAACTCTGTCCATTCGTTCCACCGCACGTGATGGTCGCTGTCGTGTTGGTTGTGGTACTGCAAACTGTTCTGGTCTGTTGGGGTGCTGATGGAACAGGAGTTCATATGGACAGCAGCCGGTAGTAGCATTCTTTGACGTGTTGTGCGCATACTGTACGGAATGCACTGCCTCTGGCCATGCCGTCATCACGCACACAGCGCACTTTATCGATTAGTTGATTCTGTCGTTCGACCTGACCATTCGACTGGGCATGGTTCGGGCTGTTCAATGCCTGCCGAATGCCTATGGCTGAGCATATTTCCCGAAACACCGTTCCTGTGAAGTGTGAGCCCCGGTCGCTCTGGATGGTCACAGGAATGTCGAACACCATAACCCAATGCTCTAGTAGGGCCTTCGCTGCCGTCTCTGCCGTGGCGTCTGCTGTAGGGATAAGTATCGCGTATCGCGTCAATACATCTTGTACGGCCAAGATATAGCGAAACTGATCCGGCAAAGACGGCTGAACTTGGCCAACGAAATCAACCTGTATCCGTGCCAAAGGTGCTGCGGGTATATCTGTCTTCTGCAGCTCCGCCTTGTCCGGATGTTTGGGGCGCTTGTGCCGCTGACAAGCTGCGTATCCTCTCACGTACGTTGCCACATCTTTTGACATGAAGGGCCACCATACTATGTCCCGAATGCGGTCGTTCGTCCTGTTTCGGCCCATGTGACCACTGAGTGGTGCATCATGCACCAGCTCTAGGAACCTCCGGTGCAACGAACAGGGTAGAACCACCACCTGGATTTTCCTCCCACCCAGTGGCTTCTGTTTCGTAGATCTGTTCTTCGACTCCGAGTAGCGCAGGACTCCATCCGTGCCGCTGCTCAGTCGTGCCCTCTTACTCAGGATGCACTTAGATTCCTCCTCCAGCGAGCCCACTGAGCCTGGATCCCTCATCACCGGGCCTAGCGCTGGACACTTGTGTTGCGCTTCGGTCAGTTCCTGGATCGAGAAGAGCGTGGTGAGCTGGTGGATGCCGTCATTCTTACTATCCTTCTGCTGCACCCTTAGACACTGCATGACTTTTGGTAGCTCGGCGTGCCCAATACGGGACAAATAAGCCGCCATACTCAGTTCGGGTGAAGTTCCTGGCCTGTGGATGGGTCTCATCGGAAACTGTTGTAGATAATCCAGCCACCGTGCACGTCGCCCATGGATCTCATCCATCGCCAGGCTGTTGATTCATTTTGAGTGCTGCGTGGTCTGTGATCAGGTAAAATGGCTGACCGGAGAGATATAGACCCTAAACCTCTTGATGGCCAGGTTCACTGCCAGCAGCTCACGGTCCGTGACAGGGTAGTTCCTCTCTGCCTGCGTCAATGTGTGGTGGAAGAACGCTACCGGCGCTAGATGCTTGCCGTCCCGTCACTGTGCCAGCATTGCACCAGTACCGACGTCCGTTGCATCCGTTACTAGTATGAACGGCCTCTTCATGTCCGGTAACTGCAAAACCGGTGCTGAGGCGACCTGTCGCTTTAGCGTCTCAAATGCTAAACTTGCCTTCTCACTCCATCGAAGCAGCGTGCTGCGAGGACCCTTCATCATTTCGTACAGCGATTTGCAATGGTCGACATGCCTGGGATCCAGCGCTGAACTTATGAAAAGGCGCCCATAGCCTTCCGGAGCATAGTAACAGTTGTAGGCTTAGGTGTGCGGAGCAACGACTGAGTCCTGGCCTCGGAGATGCGCATTGTGCCTGCTGCTATTACGTGCCCAAGGAACTCCACCTCCCGCACACCGAAACAGCATTTGTCGGGGTTCAGGCTGAGTCGGACCGTTCAGCAGTACACCAGCCGACCTGAGTTTACTGAGCACCTCCCGCAACCGGCTGTTGTGCTCCGTCCAGCTGCGTCCCCATACCAGCACGTCGTCTAGGTAGCATAGCGCAGCCATTCAATTCTGACATCAGACGATGAAAGGTCGCCGGGGCTCCCGACAGGCCAAACGGGGTGCCCTGACCAGTCCATTCATACTGGCCATCCGGCGTGACGAAGACAGTCTTGGCCGCATCCTCACGACGCATGGGCATTTGATAGCAGCCGGATTTCAAGTCAACCGTGGAGAAGAACTGCGCTTCAGTCAAATGATCCACCAAGTCGTCTATCAGAGGCAGTGGGTGATGCTGGGGATGACTGTCTGCGTTTAGCCTTTGGTAGTCCATTGCCAGTCTCAGTCGGCCATTCTTGCGCCGAGCAGCCACTATTGGAGCAGCCCATGGCGAAGTAGACTCCCGGATCAGTCCCTGTTGAATGAGGTACTCGACTTCGTCCCGCACCTCCTTCCATGTGTCCGGTGCCATCCTACGAGGTCTTGACCACTGCGGTGCTGTATCACTCTTGAGGTGTACTTCATGCTGGTTGCCGTCGGTAGCTGATCGCCTTCCGCCCAGAACACATCGCCATACCCGTTGACCAGCTCCTGAATCTCCTGCTTCTTGCTGTTCTGTAGGATTCATCCAGCTTGTACCCCGTTACCTGCCGCCTCGGCTCATCACTCTTCGCCGGGTTCTGCAGCGACATTTCGAATTCAGCACGTGCTATTCCCACCACCTTTCCTTTGTGCAGTACTGCTTCACTGTTCCCTGCATTCACCATGCGTACCGTGGCCCCGAATGCCGTGGGACGCAGCTGACACACACATTCTCTCTCTCTCTCTCTCTCT